TGTAGCCCCGGCTAGGTCGACGGAAGAATTCTTCCATTGACCCAGTGATGTCATCTCCGAGGGGTGGACTAACTCCACTGACAGAACAAACCCTACACCAGCACAGTCACGGTAATATAGACCTACCCAGTTTATATAACTTTCATCTGAGCATTTTGGAGCATTTACAAGCATTAATGAGTCCAGCCTCCCAGCACTTGAGGACGTAGGGTTGGTGCTGTCCCTGTTTTACACAAAGGGAAACTGAGGCACGGAGCCTATAAGTGGATCACATTTCCTGCCTGTGCCAGAAGTCAAGCCTGCATGTTTTGATTCCAAGCCTCTTGCTGTAACCACTAGATCCCACTCCCTCCCAGACAAGAGTAAATCCAAGGAGTGTGTCTCCATGTTTGATCACAGTGTCCCTGTACTGAACTGTATTTGTTTGAGGGATCCCTCAACAATTTTGCAATATTCTAAGAGGAGCTGGTAGCACTGCCTAGCGTCTCTAGGGTGCCTACCACTTTCCATTCTAAGGCCCAGTTTTCATTGCTTAGAACTGCCCAACTCTCACCATTTGTGCTGCCATTTACCAGGTGTCTGGCTCAACATGAATATTTTTGGAAACTGTCAGCTAAAAAGGGTTTCAGCCGTGCCTGAGAATGAGATTAAGGACAAAAATACATGGCTTTGCCAATTAAAAATAAATAAATAAATCAGGCACTCGACAGTTAGGACATGCCAGAGTGAAGATTAACTTGTGCAACCTTCCTTCATTTCCCTTGTGCACAGGCATTCTGAGACAGTCCCGAATGACTTCCTCACACACTGTTTTTCCTCTGCCTCCTGCAGTGCCCAGGGTGGGTGCTCCTCTGGGGATGACCCAGGGCGTGTAGTGAAGGAGACTGTTGGACCTAGGCGCCCTTTCTCATTTGTTGCAGAAATTGGATGGCATGTAGAGACTCAGACAGGGCATTGCCGGGAGAGAAAGGATGGTCTCACGCATAAGGCAGCTGCCCGCTGCCCTGGAGAACTGGATTCCAGCCCTTTCTCTGCCACAAAGGCTCTGTGTGATGCTGAGCCAGTCAGTGCCACACAACTTTTCACAGGTGGTGACTAATTGTGTGTTGTCTGCCCCGAGCTCCTGACCCCGCTCAGCGGCAGCCGAAGTCGTCGGGAGCTGTGCTTTGGCCATCTGACGTGCTAAATACGCTGAGAAGCCAGGCCCTAGGTGTCTCAGCTTGGGCACCCAAATTAGTAGAAACTTCTGACCATCATCTCTCATTGTGCCTCAGCTCAGGTACCAGCTCCCTCCCCTCCCAGGAGCGTTGGGAAGGGAAACGCACTAATGTTTGTGAAGCACTGGGCTGTTGCCATGAGAGCCTTAGAAAAGCCCCTGAGGAAATGTAAGAATTCTGCCTTCAGAGCAGGGTCAGATGAGTGTGCAGGAAATAAGGCCTGTGGCCTGTTGTGAAGTCCTCCACACACACACCCCGCACACACACACACCCTGCTCAAAGCCAGCAAAAGTCCAACTCAGCCTGTTACAATCACATATAAAAGGCAGCAGAAGTTAAGACGAATAGTGGTTTAGTCCAAACAAAAAGCTCCCCTGATCCCACTTGCAGACTGTGTTGAAGCCATGCCTGGTAAGAATGGAAGCAGAAATTAATGGGTGAAAGTTGGTGCCTAATTGGTGGACAAAATAATGAGGGAAAGGGACATGTTGCCCATCACCCCCTTTTGGGGTGCTTTAAAGAAAGGCAGGGCTGTCGAGGAAAAAATTCAGGCCCCGGTGAAAAGATTTTTTTCGGGCCCCCCCAGCAAGGGCGGACCGGCTACAAATCTTTACCCGGGATTTGTATTGATTTACAAAAAAACAAATGAAAGGTATTCTAGTACTGCAATATAAAATAAATGTGTGATCTCATTTTTATGTTAATAATAAATATGATAATATTCGTACCTGTTGAGAATATTAAGATCCTAATGACTAATATCAATAATATAAGCACCCACATGATCGTTGCTGAACTAACCATACACTTTAAATGTTAAACTTGTAGGTGTAAGACAACACAATGTGTATCACACAACAACTTTGTTGTATTTGCACGTCGTACACTTACGAAAACATACAAAGGCGACTGCACATAATAAGGTGAGACTGCACTGTCATACTGTCAAAGCGCAGAAGCGAATGTTCGTATAGAGTCGGAAATGCTCAGTTCACGGCACACGTTCGCAAGCCGTTATTCAGAATTGTGCGTGCATTGAACATAAAATATATATTTTGTTAAGAATTACATTAAAATATAATTATATTCTGTTCTTAATATGTAATTAGTAGTTCTTTGGTTGATTAGAGTCTATATTGGCCGATAACTGACAGAATTTTGTATTAGCATTATTATTTTCTTTGAAGTTCACCGATTTTACAATGGGTCTCAAAAACAATTGACAAATAATGATACTACCGAGAAGGACAAAAACATATGCACCATAGTCGGGCCCCAGGCCCCCTTCTGGATCGCCGAGCCCCAGTAATTTGTACTGGCTCCCCCCACTCTCGTCAGCCCTGGGGAAAGGATCAAATGGCTGAGAGATGGGTGGACTGAAAGGAGCAAGTTTCACCATCACAGCTACCACTTGCAATGTCCCCTGGGACCCCAGGATCCACCGTGACACCACTTGGCTTTTGCTATCCTGAGCAGACCCAGCCAGAGAGCGGGACCGACGACATCACCACCTCCTCTGGCTCTGTGATGAGTCATCCCGGAGCTAGAGCTGGTGAATCATCTGTTACCAGCAAGTCCTATCATAGACCCATGCCAATCAACCAGGTCCCAGTCAATCCACAAGCGAGGGCCTAACCAGGTGACCGCAAAGCAGGTGTATAGGCTCCTAATCCATATTGGTACCTTCCCAGCTGCCAGCCAGTTCCACCAGACTGCCCCAGCCAGCCCCAGGGCTGTTCTGACAAATGCCACCTAAAAGTTAAGACTTGGGTTCCTGTTAGCAGCCTGTCCCTTTCCTTCCCCACCTTATTGCCTCTCTTTCCTAGCGCTCTCCTGGTTGCCTGCTGTTTAGTAAGTCCGACTTGGATGGGCTGAGGCTGTCTCTTTTGCAAACTGCTGTGAGCCTGTGACCTGAGAGGCAGCTGAAAGCACTGCCCTAAACAGCCTGCCCCTGGTACCAGCGGGCTGGGTGTTGGGGTGGCAGAAAAGACAGTGCTGGGCCGGTGTTTCTCCAGCAGTGAGTTTGCAAGTGAAAGTTGGCACCAGAGAAGCTGCGTTTTCTATCTTTGCTGTTCTTTTCTGCCCTGTCCCTTTGCTGTGTGTGTTTGTTTTGTTTCTCCTTAAAGGCGGCAGGATCAAACTTTACCACCAGCAGCGCCGGCCAATCTCCACTAACTTCTTTTTTTCCCCAAAAAGGAGCGTGAATTACCATCTTTAATCCAGTCTGCAAAACCGTCAGCCGGGGGGAGGGAGTTTCCTGATGAAAACGTTCCACACGCAGCGTTTCTCCAATTGGGGGGCCTGACCCAAAAGGGGGTTGCAAGACTGTTGTAGAGGGGTCGTGAGATGGCAGCAGTTGGCCCCACACCCAGCTCTGAAGGCAGCAGTGCAGAGATAAGGGTGGCATGGTATGGTGGGGGGCGCATCACTTTTGGGGGTGGAGGGTTGTCACAGCCTGAAATATTTTCAAAGGGGTCACAGCAAGAAAAACGTTGAGAACCTTCTGGCTACTCTTACAATGAAAACCTTACTGAATACTTTACGTTTCCAAGGCTTTAACTGTTTTTCCTTTTTCGGTATCTTTCATAGAAGGTGCTTGTAGTGGTGGCTGTTGCCATGCGTCCGTGTACTCAAACCCAAACTGTGTTTAACGGTCTAGTGTTGTGCAGTGACAGGGGCTGGTTGACACCTTTGCCTCTCTGGGCCTTTTTATTCCATTGAAAGTATCACATGCCGAATGAGGGTAAAATGAGTAGCTGCTCGTTTGCTGAGCACCATCCGCCCTGTGCAGGGGACATGTGGAAACATAACGGGAACTGAGCATTCAAATCAGGCGGCTTTGAAAAATCTCAGCCTTATTTTCCTGTTGTGCTAAACTAACCAACACTGACTCCCGTGGGGGGGGGGCACTACTCATTGCCTGGGGGTATCTCCTGTTTGCAGCTCCTTTGCATGACACCTCCCGTAAAAGTTTCAGAGTAGCAACCGTGTTAGTCTGTATCAGCAAAAACAACGAGGAGTCCTTGTGGCACCTCAGAGACTAACACATTTCTTTGGGCATAAGCTTTCGTGGGCTAGAACCCACTTCATCATGAAGTCTCTAAGGTGCCACAAGTACTCCTCACTGTTGTTACCGCCCATAGAGTGACTCCTTCCCTGGGTGCATTCAGGGTTTGGGCAGGCCGTACCCGCTGCAGGGAGTCTCGCATCAGAGCGAAACCAGACTCAACGGCTTCCTGCCAGAGATATGAAGAATACAAGACAGGAGTGAGAAACCACAGCCATCCCCCTATGACTTGTCCCAGCACTGAACAGGCTGTGATTGTTCTTGAGAAAGCGCTGTGCCTTGCCAGTGCCCACCACACCAGCTCAGCCGGCGCCCCCCAAGCAGTGCACCCGGGACTGACTAAGCAGAAGCAAGACAGGAAATCTCTTTGGGACTGGCGCTTCTGCTCTCACCACCGCCAGAATGGCAGGGGCTCCGGCGCTGGGAGGAAACGGACCACACAGCAGGGACAGACAAATTGGAGCCCCTCCCTCCTCTATCGACCCAGTTTCTTACATGGGCGCCTGTCACCGGGGGGCATCTGAGCACCTCCCAGAGAGGAGAGTGCAAGGAAGAGACCAGCCTTCCTGCTGCAGCTCGAGGTCTGGCTGGCATCTGAAGGGGTTTTGAACCCCAGGGAGAGTTCACTGATCTCACTATCCTCCCCATCTGCCCCACCCTTGCACTGAAATACAGTAATGCAGAGCAGTGGTCCCCTCCCCTCCCCCCCGACCTTGCTCCTTTGCCCCATTTATTCCTAAGGGGAGCAACTAGCCATTTCTTAGGATGTGCCAGCCCCTGTCTAGGAAATGCCAAACTTCCCAGCCTGGCAAAGGCTCACTGTCCTGTCCTAGCCAGTGCAGAACCCGCCCACCTGCTGAGCTGCAGACTCAACGCTCCTCACGTAGCACCGGTTAGTCCTCACAACACCCCTGTGAGGTAGGTAAGTGTACGAGCCTTTTATAGATGGGGAAGCCGAGTCCCAGTACAAGTCTGTGTCAGAGCTGGGACTCAGAGCTCCTGGCTCCCAGACCCAGGTTCTGCTCAGTGCCCTCAGTCACCCCACCAGCCACTTGACTCAAAATGAGCCAGCCCACGCAGACGTCCTTTTCCACTAACGCAGACAGCCTGGCTTCTCTGTACAAGTCACACATCTCTGAAAAGCTTCAGCGTTGCCCAGCCCCATCTTCTCAAACACTGAACCAGCTCTCCAGGTCAGGGTAGATTTGCCCCTGGGCCAGGCGGGGGTATCTGGCGCAGATGGTGCAGAACCGTTCGTGCCAGTCTGTGTAGAGCTTCACCCCATACCTCTTCCTCCACTCGAAGAATGCCCTGTAGCGGCTGGAGTTCATGGTCTTCAAGAAGCTGGCCAGCTCCTTCATGGAGCCAAAGTCCTCAATGTGGATGAATGAATCTGCAGGGATGAACTTCTCGTAGTTGGCTCGGGGGGGGCCCAGCACCACCGGCACGGTGCCAGCCAGCAGCGCGTTCCTCCACAGCTTCTCGGTGATGTAGTCCTGGTGGATGGAGTTCTCGAAGGCCAGGTAAAACTTGTACTTGGAAGTGGTCGGCAAGAGGCAGTCTGGGCACAGTGGCTTCTTGTTTGATTTCCCATACACATTCACTTGGAGGTGCCTGGACAGCTCTCTGTAGACCTGCGCTCTCTTCTGAGTCCGGTGGTAGTTACTGATGACCCAGGACACCAAGCCGGTTTTGGTTGGAATGTCCACACTGGCTGATGGATGGCGCACAAGCTCCCCATATGGCATGAAGATGTCTGAGTCTTGTCTGTATGTCATGACCCAGTTGAAGGTTCGGTTCCAGCCACTCAGTGCCTTAGTGTTGGTGGGGGATTCCAGGGTAACCCACACCCAGTTTTGTCCAGGCCTCCTTTCTGTTGGGAGTCTTACCTTGCCCTGCCACAGCTCCCAGTGATGGAACACCACAGCATCTGCCTGGTTAAAGAACCTGCGGTCCCCCGTCAGCTGGCAGCCCTTGATCTTGTAGCGGTCTGCGCAAACATCAGTGCTGAGGTTCGGGGTGTGGCGGAAGGGCCACTGCCAGATCAGGACTGTCAGGGGTTCGCTGTGCCTCAGGGCTGGGCCAGGGACCTCAGATTGGTAGCCAAAGAAATTCAGGTTCCAGAGAATGACTGCAAATATTATTGCACTGGCCAAGGCCTTCAGCATAGGCAAGGAGCAAGTTTGCATCTTCAGCAGTAGCTTACGTTGGACCTGCAGTGCCGAGCTGCTGGGTGGGTTGGGTTCTTGGCAGAATTTCTGCTTCATGAACAGAGTTGAGTCCAGCCCCTGGAATGGAGAAGAAAGATGGTAAAAATCAGCCTTCAGCATATAACAATGCACTTTCTGCAGCCTCCTCTTTTCAGGGCGCAGGTGTGTGAGCATCTTGGTGGGTTGGGAGGAAATGGAAGGGGACGCAGGGAACTAGCAGGTGGAAGGAAAGGAGAAGAGCTGATCTCACTAGCATAGCTCAGGTCCGTGCTCTTTACAGAACGTGGTCACGGAGCTGTGTGACTGGGGTTACCGGACTCTTGCTGCCCCTTGGATGTCCCAGCCCAGTGCTCTCCAGAGGGGATGCCTTGTCTGAGGTTTTGGGGAGGGCTGCAGGGTTGGATGAGGGAAGCACTTCCTAGCTGGAGCGGAATCTGGTGCAGTTGCGACTAGCCAGTCTCGGACCCTTAGGAAGAGCCTGGGCCATGCCCGGGGGGGGGAGGGGTTGCTATTTAGCAGCCGGGATGAGAAGTTGGAGCCGTAGGAGAGCTGCAGTGTGTATATCGCTGGCTCTATTTTCATTCTGCTTAAGGGTTTGAACAGCCTGAAGGGGATGTGGTCACATGCTGGAAGGTTTGTACTTATTTATGGTGGTTATAAGCGTGATACCCCTGAGAGGTGTGTTTTTGCAGAAGCGGGGCCTCTGCAGTTTATTTCCAGCTGCAAAGCTCAGAGCCCTGCCCCAGCAGCCCTGGCTTGAGAGCCCCTAGCAGCTGGCTGCTCGCAAACACACCAGCTGGTCCGATTCCAGAGTCTGCAGAGATCGACCCGCCTGGGGGACCAGAGTTCCCTGTACTGAATACGGGACACCCGGTAAAATGACTCGTATTCAAGCGAGTTCAACGGCACTCGGTCAGAACTGTGCAGTACAAACGTTCAAATTAACGTCAAGTTGCCTGAGCCCCCAGTAAAAAGAAATACTGGGTAGTGGGATTCTTATTTCCCTTCTTATCTTTAAGGCTTTAGGGTTCACAGGGAGAGAGGTGACACACACCCCTACCACTCCCCCCATATGGGAAGAGGTGACACACATACACTCCTGTATACCTCTCTCACATGGGGGGTGACCGACCAACCCTCCCCTCCCCTCTCTGCTTGGCGCTCTCCACCCTCCATGCCTGGCTGGGCCCCCAGGACAGACAAACCGCTCCTGGTACCTGGTGCTGCATCTTCCCAAGGCAACATGCGTGTGTGTGGGTTGGGGATGGGGATGCAGGGTCACTTGCCCTCCCCCCCAGATTTCTGCCAGGGTTCCCACCAGAACGTGGCCAGCAGCAGCCTTTCGGCACTGTGCGGGAGGGAAGGGCCGGGAGCTGCTTCCAGCCGTGGGGAGTGGGGAGGGGTAGGAATGCCCTGGCCTGTGTCTTTGCAGCGTTCAGCACCAGGGCTGGAAGTGGAAACAGCTGGTCCCTTCCTGCCCACACAGTGTTGAAAGGCAGCTAACACCTCCAGGCTGCTGCTGGCCTCAGACATTACCGGACGCTTCCTGTCCCCCAGCTACACTGCAGGCAGGAAGGGGTTAAGCCCGAAGGATACACCAGGGCCCAGGGAACCTGACTGCAGGGCCCTCAGCGAACCCAGCCAGAGAGGTGCCTAGGGGACGGAGCAGCCCCACGATCCCTGGGGGGTAGGACCCAGGGCGGGAGTGGGGGGGTGAGAGACAGGTGAAGAAGGTGCTAAGCCCCTGCCCGGGGTGGGTGGGGCGGGTGCTGCTGTGGAGCCTACAGGTTCGGGGTATGAACAGGCTGGAAATCGCTGCCCCCCACCACTCAGGAGCGTAGCTGAGGGGCAGAGAGGCTCCTCATGCCCGCGCTGTGTGGGGCTTCGGCACATGCAGGGCTTGGCTCCTCCTGGACAGCGCCCGAGGCCGGAGACTATTGGGCTTTCCCAGGGTGCCGGCCAAGCCGGAGACAGCGGGGGAAGGAAGGAACCTGCCAGCCAGGCTGGTGGTGAGCTGAGCGCTCCGACCAGGGGCCGGTTCTCCCCACGGCCCTGGGAGCGGGACACGCCCCAGCTGGAGGGATATGGAGGAACAGCGGGGCTGGGGGTTGTGGCGAAGGGGCAAAGCAGGGAGATGACAGTGAGAGGGGGAGCACGTAAAGCACCAATGGGTGGGCAGCAGAGGCGACACGTAACCTGCCTCTGCCTGGCACCTGCCCGCACGCACCAGCCACTGCCATCTGGACGGGGGACGGGGCCCTGGTGGCCGAGAGCCAGCCTGCAGCGGGGGCTGCACTGACAGATCAGCACAGGGGAGTGGCCGGCCCCACACACTGCATCTTTATCCCGCCTCCAGCCTTGCACACCCATCCCATCATCAGCCACTGGCCCCCCCAACTCACTGCTGGTGGGCAGACGGCTGGCGAGCAGGGATCCGGCCAGCAGCAGGACCCGCCAGACAGAAAATACGGGACAATTTGCCAGTCTTTAAGAAAAAGTCGGGCCATTTGCAGGAGGGCTTAGATATGGGACTGTCCCTTTAAAAACAGGACGTCTGGTCACCCACCTGCCAGAAAACACAATGGCCAAGGCGAGACACAGTCAGGTGGGAAATGAGGTATACATTTTTAACAGTGTGGGTAATTAACCATTGGAACAATGTATTCAGGGTTGGGGGGGATTCTCCATCTCTAATCAAGACTAGATTTGTTTTTGTAAGGCTCTGTGTTCGTTCCAAAGGAGTTGTGCTGGGGAGGCTCTCTGGCCGGTGTTCGACAGAAGGTCAGTCTGGATGATCACAGCCAACCCTTCTGCCTGTTGAATCTATGACTCTATCACAAGTGGCCCCAGAGCTTGGGAGTCCATCTTGAGCCCTGGCTCACCCAGGCGGAGCGCCAGGGCTGCTTGTCAGTGGGAGCTGAGGGCACTCTGTGCCACTAAAAATCAAGCCATGGTGTGTCAAGATGAAAATCCAAAATCAGAGAACACTTGTGAAAACGCAAGGGGGGCTCTGAGAGGTCTATAAAGTCATGAGCGGTGTAGAAAAAGGGACTAGATAAATGTTATTTACCCCTCCACATAACACGAGAACCAGGGGCACTCAATGAAATGAACAGGCAGCCGGTTTAAAACAAACAAAAGGAAGTATTTCTTCACACAACGCACAGTCACCCTGTTGCCAGGGTATGTTGTGAAGACCAAAAATATAACAGGTTTCAAAAAAGAAGTAGATAAGTTCGTGGCGGATAGGTCCAGCAACAGCTACGTGCATCCCTGACCAGCTTGGCTACCCAATGCTCTGGGTGTCCCTACCCTGACTGCCGGAAGCTGGGAATGGGCGACGGGATGGATCACTCGATAATTGTCCTGTTCTGTTCATTCTCTCTGAAGCATCTGGCAGTGGCGACTGTCAGAGGACAGGACACTGGGCTAGATGGATGATTGGTCTGACCCAGTCTGGCCGTTCTTATGTGTTTGGAGCTGTGATTCTGATTATTTAACCTCATCTCTGGTTCATTCAATACACACCAGCCCCAGCACTGACCAGGCTGCATTGGCGAGTAATACTGTCTACCCCATTCACATACAGTCCCGTAGGAGCATGCAGATCCCACTGTCTATCTCTAAGCACTTTACAAAGGGTGGAGGGGGAAGTGCTGTTATCCCAGTATTATAGAGGGGGAAACTGAGGCAGAGGAAGCAATTTTTCCACCGTCATGCAGAGAGTCATTAGAAGAGCTGGGAACAGAACCTGGGTCTCCTGCGGCCTTTTGAGGCCATTACCAAAGAATACTCATTCCTGCACTACTTTAAATACAAATAAATACTTTTCAGGCAACAAGATCAATTCACTGAGGGCTTGTCTGTATGGAGGCTTAATATGTGGCAAACTGGGGTGTACAGCTACGGTGCACCAGCTTGCCACGCATTGTCCATGTGGACCCTGCCACAGCGCACTAAAAGGTCCATAGTGCGCTTTGACCTATTGTGGAGTGAAATTGCCTGTACAACCTTAATTCATCCCCTTTGTGTGTGTGCGTTATGAGACAGTCTTTAATTACATACTATTTCTTCCACCAGACCCCAGCCTCCAATGAACCTGCACCGGGGCTGAATTTGTGTTGTGTCATAGAGAACGTTGTCTGTAGGATCCCTGTGCGTTGCTCGTTGCAGGAGTTGGAAGGTGGGTCCTGGATAAGGCAAGGGACTGCAGGAAGAGAAAGGACAGTCTGACGGCTAAGGCAGTTGAATGCTGCCCCAGAGAGCTGGATTCTATCCAACCCTGTGCTACAGAGCTCCTGTGTGAGGATGGGCAAATCACTTCCATGGAACTCTTCCCAGGTGAAAAGAGAAGAACAGGAGGACTTGTGGCACCTTAGAGACTAACAAATTTATTAGAGCATAAGCTTTCGTGGACTACAGCCCACTTCTTCGGATGACCCAGGTGGTCACTAACTATGTGTTTGCTCATTTGCGGAGTGTCCAATGTGAGACCCTCAGGGCTGATTTGCAGACTTGGTGAGCACTGGGAGCTGCACATAAAGTGCTCCAGAGGGCTAAGTACGCTGAAGAATAAGGAGCACGACATCTCAAATGAGGCACCCAAAAGTAGTGACTACTTTTAACCTTTAATCTCGCTGGGTCTTAGCTCCCCATCTATAACCTGGGGCAAATACTGCCCCTCCTCTCGCAGTGAGGTGGTGAAAATAAATTGACAGATGTTTGTAAAGTAGCCAGAGACTCCCATGAGAAGCGCCATAGGAGAGCCCAGGAGGAAATTAATAATTGTGGTTTCAGAGCAAGGTTTGAATAGTGTGAAATAACTAAGCTCTGTGCCACATGTTGAACAATGCGGAGAAAACAAAATACAGACTCGTTTATTGAGTGCCATCCGTCCTGTGCACTGAAAGAGGCCAGGGGCTTGTGGAAAAAATAGCATTTGATCATGTAATTAAAGACTGTCTCATAACACATATGCACACGGGGACGGGACAAATGAAGGCTGAACACACAACCTTAATTCAGGCATTTATTAACTTGAGAGGACTTGACTTTGCAACCTTAGTAACATTCTTTTACTGTCGTTTTTGCATATAGACAAGGGGTAAAACCTAGGGGAAGAGGCAGGTGAACGCAGACATGTAGGGCCCAATTGTGTTGCCCCCACACCTTGTGTGGTCACGTACATCAATACAAAGTGGGTGGCAAATGCTACCAGCTCAGAATGGGAACACTTTGCACGGGTGTAACTGACAACACACGCAGCAGTGCAACGGAGAACTGCCCGAGGTCTGATCTACACTGAGCTGTCCTGATACAATTATACCAGCACAGCCGCTACTGTGGTGGTACGCGACACTGGTATAAAGGGGTCTTTATACAGTCTAGCATGTTCTCCTTCCTGGAGAGCATTTTCCTACATTGGTGTAGCTAAAGTGACACAATTTCTGTGTGTAGACAAGCCCTTAGAATTCAGAATCTGAGAAAATTAAGCGTAGCTTTGATTTATTGAGCTTCACAGAGCCCCCTCTGGGCTCCCATCCTGAGCTCCAGGGTCCGTGCCATGAAAAACACACGCTCCAAGCCTCCTGGAATAACAGCACTAAAGGCAACAAAAGCTGGACTAGAAGTAAAGGCAGCGGCCGTCAGTGACCGTGCTGCGATTGCCCGCAGGTCAGCAGTGCCCGTGTGGGTTTCCGTGTTTGTACCAACGTTTAGTGTAACAATGCCCGGAAGATATTTCAATCCCCCCCCCCCCAGCTGCAGCTGCCAGCCTCTTCAATCGTTTGACATTTTGCACATGTGAAGGATTGAGTTTTTACAAAGAGCCCAATTTTAAAAAGACAGCTCAGCACCCAATGTGCACCCAACGTGCAGCGTGCCTTGGAGAATCTGGCTTCTGTGGGTAACATTTTCCAAAGTCCCTAGGTGACTTAGAAACCTCATTTCATTGACTGTCAATGAAACTTAGGCTCCTAAATCACTTCGGGGCTTATGAATTTTGTACCTTTGTTGCCTAGCTGATCTGCTTAAACACGGATTTAAAAAATAATCCTATCGTCAGTTTCATGTTCTTCCCCCGACCTCCAGAGAAACGCTGCTTCTGAGTCACTTTTCATTGACACGTCCCCCCTTTTCTTCCTCTCCTACCTCTAGACAATATAGCAGCTGGGATTTAGTGACAGAAACACTCACATACCTGACGAGACGGGAAAGCTCTGCTTCCTTGAATCCTCGTTTTGGAATATACAGAGAGCGACTGTCAGGTGACAACTAATCCATGCCCCACTCAGTGCAGCACTGTTCCCTACAGTCCAGTCTCCAGAGCTGTTTTAAGTTACAGTTTCAATAAAAAGCACCGGTGCATCCATCATTCCCTGTGGGAGACTATTCCGCAGTAGAATGGATCGCACTGCTCGGCTATTTTCACCCCTCTGTTATCGGAGCAAACCCTTACTCAGCACACTACTTACTCCGGCAGAGAGGAACTGGGAGTCTGACCTGGGGGTCACATTTTGGCCCAGCGAGATTTAAATTGTACTTGGTTTGAGAGGAAGGAAGGTTAGCCCTTGATTCTGGAGCCGCCTCATGGGCGTGGGGCTGAGACGTCTATTTCAAATGTTCCTCACTAACACATTCGCAGAAGAACACTTTTGTTTTTAAGTGGAATGAAGTCATGTCACCCCCGTGAAACAGCGAGGTTTGGTTTTCTTGCATTTTCATTTTATTTTGTTTCATGGAGCATCAGACAGCGTTTTCCTGACACTTTCTAGAGGCGTTGCTGTCGCAGAGCTCTAGTCACTAATTTTTCTGCCTATTTTAAAAAAAGCCCAGCATTGAGGATTGGCTCGCCCTGGTCCAAAATGCACCAGCTTCTACCCATCTGACTGCTGCGTTCCTGGCTGCTATGCTAACATTGATTTCAGGCAGCGGCATGAGCTCAGAGACTTACCCTCCGTTAGTATCAGAAGCATTGTAGTGTGTTCTGGCTGGTTCTTCCTTCTCCCCTCATGTCTGCTGGGCAATGCTGAAGGAATCCATCCAGCTGAGGGCTCCGTGCAGGCTGTGGTCACTCGATAACTTCTGCTTTTCTGTGGTGTCACCATCTCCTCTTCCTCCACAACCTTTCCTGTTGCTTGTTCAGCTGTTTCTAGAAAAGGTTTTCTCAATGTACCCAGCCGCTCCCCACCAGGCTCTGCTTTCACTCTTAGGTGCCCGCTCCAAGAAGCAGTGCTGGGCTTTCAAGTGAGGCTGGAGAGGACAGCAGATGTTCCTCCATCTCCAGCCCTCCATGAGGTAGCCTGTGAAGGAAAACCCTTTCTTGCTTTCCTTACATGATGACCTGAGCTTGCTTGCTTGTGCTCTCTCTCTTCCCCCCTCCCCTCGGGGCCACACCCCTGCTCAATAAAAAAAGTTGTGGTTATTTTTTTTCCGGGTTTTCCCCATTTGTTTTCTCCAGCCTGTCACCTCCTGCCTTCCCTGGCTTGCGGGGGATATAGGCCACTTTCCCAGCCCTAATCAAGGCATTCGGGGTTCGTGTTGCCAAGAAAGAAGTTTTTCTCCCCAGCATTTGAGTTAAATTAAAGTTCACAAAACACCCCCCCCCCAAATCCCTTCCTCTCTCCGCTAATCACGTTCCTCTTTCTTGGTATCAGACTCCTGCTAGTTTTCCGGTCAGCCAGAGAGTCTGCCAGGCTGGATTGCTCATTAAAATACAAGTGGCCGAGGGGGGGGAACATACACTACTAGCAACAAAATGGGCTACAAAAGAACCAAGCTTTGGAGGGTTGTGTTCTCTGCCATGCTTCTTCGGCGGTGCTCTGCACAATATGTTACTTTATGCAGCAGTGGCAGAGTTAACTGCATCTCCTGCAGGTGGGCTAGTTACAACAGCAGACACCCGTGGGGATCCTGGGTGAGGAAACCAATGAGAGATTAAATTAAATTAATGGAGATATCCCATCTCCTAGAACTGGAAGGGACCTTGAAAGGTCATCGAGTCCAGCCCCCTGCCTTCACTAGCAGGACCAAGTACTGATTTTGCCCCAGATCCCCAAGTGGCCCCTTCAAGGATTGAACTCACAACCCTGGGTATAGCAGGCCAATGCTCAAACCACTGAGCTATCCCTCCCCCCATTGCATTTGTGGGGAACAAACTCTTCCCTTTCAGCTCTGATCCTCCCACCCAGCTCCCCCACGCTGTCTGAGTCCTGGGAGATTCATTGCATATTTTAACCTGCCCCATCATTAATAGAATGCAGACTACAGACCACTGAGCTCCCAGTAGCAGAGGGGTAGCCGTGTTAGTCTGAATCTGTAAAAAGCAACAGAGGGTCCTGTGGCACCTTTAAGACTAACAGAAGTATTGGGAGCATAAGTTTTCGTGGGTAGGAACCTCACTTCTTCAGATGCAAGTAATGGAAATCTCCAGAGGCAGGTATAAATCAGTATCGAGATAACGAGGTTAGTTCAATCAGGGAGGGTGAGGTGCTCTGCTAGCAATTGAGGTGTGAACACCAAGGGAGGAGAAACTGTTTCTGTAGTTGGATAGCCATTCACAGTCTTTGTTTAATCCTGATCTGATGGTGTCAAATTTGCAAATGAACTGGAGCTCAGCAGTTTCTCTTTGGAGTCTGGTCCTGAATTTTTTTTGCTGTAAGATGGCTACCTTTACATCTGCTATTGTGTGGCCAGGGAGCTTGAAGTGTTCTCCTACAGGTTTTTGTATATTGCCATTCCTGATATCTGACTTGTGTCCATTTATCCTCTTGCGTAGTGACTGTCCAGTTTGGCCAATGTACAGAGCAG